TTTCCATCTTATTTCACCATCTTGCATTTGCTTCAAGTAAATGGCATCTTAATCAGTCAATAAAGCGAATTTTTAACTATGATACTTGCAACTATCATTGACTTGCCTTCAGTTCTTTGTAGGCTAGAGCTGCTAAAGTCAATACAATGTGGGCCCAAAATGTCATTTTTGCCATTTCTCCAGAGTAGGTACTTAGTTTTTTAGTCACCACAGATAGATGCAAGAGCGCATCAGAGTGCTACGTCATTCATGACGTAGCTCATACAGAATCTGTGATTAGTTGGAGCTTGTTGGCAGGCTGCCCAAAGCAATGTGGATGACGTGGGGGGCCTTTTTTTACTCCCATTTTAATTACCATATATGGTAACTTACCTGCAAGAGGGTTAAAGGTTTTAATCTTGCTCTTAACACAAACTTTCCACCTTTGTCCAGAAATCTAGGATATTATTGCCTTTGCTATAATATCCTGTTCCTGTCTATGACTCTACCTGACCTCATTTCCCTTTTCTCCTACTTACATAATACACTAATGAGTATGTGACATTTGGCAGCTAGCCATTATAAAGGCCTGAGCTGCCTGACTTGCGAAAGTTACTTCAGTGTCACCACCACACTTCACAGTTCACTCCATGCTCTAAATCCAAATCCTAATTTCAATTTCAAAATTAAAAAAGAAGTTGAAGAACTGATCTTCATATTTTTTTACACTGAAAACTTATTTGATATTTTAAACTCTTTAAACTTATTTGGTATTCAACCAGGTAATATTGAGTGAGCAATGAGGTAGCTAGCTTTTCACACTATTATTTTAATTGTTTAGTAACCAGGGCCAAGGCAACATCTTGATGACCTTATCATATCTGTCATATCATTCATTTCCAAATCAAATGACATGTGTATGAATCTGCATCCTGCATCTGCAATGTACGAATCTAGTTGGGAAAAGTCCTACTTTTTTCTGAAATATCGCAGCTCAAATATAATATTATTTCAGTAAGTATGAAAACTCGTGGCTCTAATGGCATGTATTTTTTTATTGAAAAAATCAGTTTGCACTTTGCAGACATATTGTCATTCCAGAAAAATTTCAACTTTCACAGTACTTCAATGCTCCTGCCAAAATATCCTGCATAATGTCATGATAATGAGTCAACCAATAACATTTCATTGAAGATTGCATAGTTGCAGTCACATCACTGCGTTCAGAATTAGTTTGCAGCACATAAATGGCTCTTCATGGCCAATGATGGCCAAGATATGGAATTCACAGCTCAAAAAAAAAAAATTTGAATCATGGCTTGCAAATCCATAAAGCCACAGCTTGAAAAATTCGGTTGTGGTTCAGAGTGTAGACATTTTCCTCAATAGGTGCTGACTACTGAGTGGCAAGTGCTGCATGCAGAATGGTATCCTTATAAATAATAACCAATTACTTGAGGTTATCATGATACTATAACTGCAATGTTAGGCAAATTTGTGCAAAAAAATTCCACTGGAATCTTTTGTTTTATTGCCGATTTTACTCATTTGCTGCTGAAAAAATTTATTTATAATAAGTATCACTGAGAAAATTTGTTAATTTTTTAAATTTATTTGTTGTTTACAAAGTCAGATGCACAACAAATGGCAATATGATAATTAGTTGTATTGGTCCCAGTAATAAATTAGTCACATCTGAATCTGATCTGCCTTACCATGCATGATTTACAAGTTGGTAAAGTACAGAATACTTAGAACAACCAATGCTACTTCTATTTTCAAGATTAAAAATGTGTTTTGAAGTGTTCAATATTTATGTAATTTTATCTAGTTGAATTGTTTTATTCATATACCAACTAGGAATTAACTTGGGAAACTAGTTTTTTTCATTCAAAAGTTTTTAAAAGTTTCATTGCAAAATGAAAAAGTGATTAGTTGTTTCTGATTAAATTAGGCAATTAGGAGTAGGTAAACTATTTATGGCATACTATATTATACCATAGGAAGCAATCAAAATTTGTAAATCAGTCAGAAGTCAGTCAAGTCACCACTCACCTGTGATCTTTAAGGGGACCGTCTACCCTAAATAAAAACTTCTACAGTTATTATCCGATCATCGTGAAACTTCACATACACATGTAAAATGTAAAAAAATAACATTTTGTTCCCATGAATTTTTTTAAAAAATTGATAGAAAACGTGAAATTCATAGAAAATGGCTAAAAACGGGTACTTTAGAAAATCTATCTCCTCCTACAAATATCATTCTACAACATTGAGACATGTATCATTCTATTCGTAAAGACCATACCTATCGACTCTAACATCACTTTTCTCATTTTCCCCATAGTTTTCTTTTATGCGCATTTTTCCCATTTTCTCATTTCCCCCCCCCCCTTCATTGCTGTAGCTTGAAAACTGTAGGAGGAGATAGGTTTTCAAAAAGACAAAAAACGAAAATTTAAATAGTTCAGGGGAGCCAAATAAAGTAAAGTTCAATGAAAACAGAAGAATATACCCAAAAAAGTCTTGATATCATAGCCCAAGCTTTCCCATTGCCAATTATTTGCATTCAGGGTACCAGCAAGCGTCTTTAGACCTATTTATGTCACATTTAACGTGAATAATAAGCTATAAATTGGACTTTTTATATATAAATATATATGTGAAATATTCATTTTACATAACGTTACAACTGCATTCAGCAAAAACTATTGCACGTACATCAATGGTAGTAGCTTTGTTGAACGCGTCTTGTTTGTAGCTTTCAAACGAGTGCAAACACTTTGCAATTAACCTAAAGAATGACATATAAATACCATTTATTAGTAAATAATGTTATAGAATGTTCATTTTATAAAAGTTTAAGACTGCATTACACAAAAAATTTCACATGTACATCAATGGTAGTAGCTTTGTTGAACGCGTCTCGTTTGTAGCTTTCAAACGAGTGCAAACACTTAATAATTAACGAAAGTAATGATCTATATATACAGATTTAATTCAAATAAATCTTTGTAAATATTGTTAAAAAATGTTCATATATATATATATTTTAAATTGTTGTGCGCAAAAATTGTAGCACGCACAGACATGCGGTAAACTGCGTTAGACGCGCTTTTTCAGCAGCTACAAAATTAGTCAAGAAAACGGAAAAGCCAAAATTTCCGATTTTTAGGGTAGACGGTCCCCTTAAAAGATACAAATTATGGCCTCCATGCTTCATTCTTAAGGCACTAGTCTAATTTTTTAATTAGGGAAAAATCAAATTTTTGCCTGCAATCATTAAAAGATAACCAAAGAAACTTATTTTATATCTGCAATTTTTTTAATTCTGTTCAATATTCTAGATGATATTCTCTGTAACAAATAAATATTACCTGTTCAAAAATGCAAAGTATCCTTATTATTTTTCTCACCTAATTAATCTTTTATGCCATTGCATCAATGTTTTTTAACACATTGACTCTGATTGCTCACATGCCAAACTTCCCCAGCAGACGGTGACAGATTTCATTTCTCAAGTTAGTTTGATGCTTGCTGGTACTGTGAAGGTGCGTAGCTCTATATGCATTAGACAGGACATGTTGGTGAGAGAAAACATGTGGGACATATGTGTACCACAACGTACTAATCCGAAAAAACCTTGTAACAAACAAAGTGGGACACTATTGTACCACAGCTCTGTGGTATAGTCATGGCACAAAAAATTATGAAAAACATGAAAATGTCTAAAAGTTGGTGCAAATCATGAAATGATAAAGGAAATATGACGTATTCCATATTTTTATTAATTTTAATCATTTTCGCTCACTCTGTGTGATAAACTGAAATTTGAGGCTGTGATAGAATGCTGCATTTGTTTCACTTGTTGCGTAGCTCTATATGCATTAGACAGGACATGTTGGTGAGAGAAAACATGTTTGACATATGTGTACCACAACGTACTAATCCAAAAAAAACCTTGCAACAAACGAAGTGGGACACTATTGTAGTCATGGCACAAAAAAGTATGAAAAACATGAAAATGTCTAAAAGTTGGTGCAAATCATGAAATGATAAAGGAAATATGACGTATTCCATATTTTTATTAATTTTAATCATTTTCGCTCACTCTATGTGATAAACTGAAATTTGAGGCTGTGATAGAATGCCGTATTTGTTTCACTTGTGTGCTATTAAAAAATAAGTGCATTTGAGATTTGTTATGTTTTTTCATTGACCCTATCTTTTTATTACCGGTAAAATATATAATGCGACTCTAACTTCTTAACTTTCATGTTAAAATCTATTTTGAAATAATGTGCTGAAATAATTGAAATGGTACACATATGTACCACTCCGTACTGGAGCAATATACCTCGTGGTACAGATATGTACCACTTCAGAGTCAACTTGTTAAGTTGCCACAGACATAATCTCAATATTCTTAAACTTTGAAGCCACCCTATAGAGTTTGGCAATTCTATTGCCAAGATCCTTTATTTTGGCCATAAGTGTCATCAGTATTTTCGACGATTTGTTGCTGAAACTGTCTAAAACTTCATGATTTCTTACCAAAAATTAGTAAGAAGGCATTTAAAGAGAAATTTGGTTGCAAGATCTTCTGAAGACATAGATTTTGATGCTGATGTGTTGCCAAATATCTTCAGATAATGACAGATATTCACCCATTCTCTGCACCCAAACTTTGAAGTAGATCCTGACTGTACAGTATGGCAATGCAAAATTTTGTAGTTTTTAGAATTTTTCCATTCTTTAGTAAAATGTCTCCTATGCAAATCTGACAGTGCAGGAAACATGTTTTTAAATACTGTATCTAGAGAATTTTATGCTAAATTGCATGGCTAAACATACCGTATGCTAGCATAAATAAAAAGGGAATATGGTGCAATATTGCCATGTTTTTTCAAATTCTTGCCATCTAGATATCTAGGTATGTTTTAGTTAAATCTCCTTTTGCTTCTCAATGCAAAGTGGTTGACTTAAGGAAATGATAATTTTTTTCTCTCTAATTTTCAGATTGCAAAAAAATTGCATTAGTATGCTTTTTCCAGCTTGAATACAGATTATTCTTCTCTATTAGCATTTGACTAGGAAAGATGAGCAAGCTATGGAAGAAGATGTCATCAAATCAGGCACTTGTTTTCTTGAATTTCCTGGAATCCTTTCAGAACAGTTAGCATGTAAATCTAATATTGATCAAGATGGCCAATGCAAGTTTTCTCTCTTGGGACAAGTGCACAAAAATAATTCAAACTCTTGTGGAAATCCTAACAAGGATATACTTTTTTCTCAATCAAAATTGTGCATTAATGAAGAGCAAGTGCCAAAATGTGCTGCACATCATGTAGAACCATCACATGAAGCTGCACCAGTCATCACTCTTAAAGACAAACTACCATGTGAAATGAAATTGAATGCAATGGTGTCAAATAATTTTGAGCATGATGGAACTTTGGAAGAAAATATTTGCCATTCTACCCCAAAGCTAAATCCCAAGTCTACTTCTGCTTGGAAGTATGAAATAGAATCAACTGTTGATTGGGATGTTAAGCTGCTCCCATGTGATGATCAGCGAAGTCCACCTGATGGTGGTGAATGTTCTCAGACAGGCAAATATTCCAGTGGGTTCTCCAGCCTTGATGATAATGATACCTCAGCTGAAAATGCTGCCTTGTGCATCAAGGCAGATGCTGAAACAATTGCTGTTAAGCTACTCTCAAACAAAGCCTCATCCAGCAGTGGTAGTGACTTGATGGACAAGATCTCTATCATTGACATTGAAGGTATTGAGCTGGATTCTATGCTTATGCTTCATTCTCCTACTGAAGAAAACAATGCTGGTATATCTTCTATGTGTTCACAAAGCAAGAATCTTGCCAAAAATGAAGCTGAAACTACTAATGGTAGTGATTATTATAATTCATCAAAAATGAATAATGGTGCTTGTAATGGGAAAAGCATTAGGGCTTCAATGACTGGCCAGCCATCAAAAATTCCTAAACTCCTAGTCAATGCTAATGTAAGACATTCATCTCTTTCTGCAAAGAAAAAACAAACTGTGTCCAATCACAAAGGAGGAGTGAAAAATAATTTAGTGAAGTCTAAAAGCTTGAGTTCTTTTAATCTTGCATCTATCTCTTCATTGAAAGTTGCTACATCTTCTACATCACTTGTCCAAGCTGAAGATGATTTGTCCATTTCAGAAATGGCCTTCAAAAGGTCCAAAACTAAAAAATTGGAAAAGAACAGCAGTTCCAATTCAAGTTCTCTCAGTAGATCTACAAGTTTGAATAGTTTAGCAAGCTCCTCGAAAAATAATTATAGCCATGTCAAGAGTAAAGTGAGAAAGTACATTGAGGACATAAAGAAAAGCAACTCTTGTCAGTCATCTCCTAGTAGATCTCAGACTTGTAGTCCTGGAAACAATGCAACTACTGGCAACTCTAACACTGTTTATCTACTTAATGATGATCTCATAGATGCACTGGATTGCTCTCTGCCCGATGACTTACAGGGGATGGTTAATCGCCTGGAGGCTGCCAGTGGAAGCCCCATGTTGCTACGGAACCTCTTAAAGCAACTTGTCGAAGAACGCAAGTCAGTAAGTGCACTGAAGCAAATGGTGGCTACACTCCAGCTTGACTATGATAATCTTTTGGCCAAACATTCTCAATCACAGAACCTTATAGATAGCTTACGTTTGCAAGTATCCACAAGTGAAAATAATTTATCCCTCTTTAATAAAATTAACTTATCAAATGCCTTCCCTAGACAGCAATACACTTCTATATTTGCTGGTCACAATTCTCTCTCAAATACAATGGATACTGGATTGTCTCTATCCCAACCAAACCTCATTGACTATACTTCATATCCCTTGATTGAACCCAGTGTGGGATTATCACTTGATGAAGCTGGTGCTGTGTGTCTTCTCCCTGCTCCATTTGAATGTAACCAAAGTATTCCTCTTCTGCCATCGACTATTGAAAATGTCAAGGGAGAGCTTAAAGAATGTGATAATGCACCAATCTTGGACAAGTGTAATGAAGCTACATCAAAAAGCAGCCTACTGAAATCCAGAGAAAATACGGAAACCCAAGATTTTGATGGGTCAAGAGATAGTGCAATGAGACAGGCAGCTTCCAACCTTGACATGTCAAAAAACTCACAGAATTTCAATGCCAACCCTGAGATTTCTCATCCACATTCCGATGGATGTGCTAATACAGCCAGGCTTATTAAGCTTCAAACACAATTTCGAGACCTTGCAGCACTCCTGGCATGCAAGGCTTTAAGCCCAAAAGAAACTGACATTGTTTGGAAATCGTTAGGAACATCGGTAAGCAACAGTATGATAGTCTGCATGTACACCATTTTTTAAATCACTTTAAATCACCTATCTGCTTACAATATTGAATTGAAGCAAGATTAAAACTTCCACAATGTTTCATCATCATTTTCATTGCTTGTTACATTTTTTTGTATATTTCTTTTAATTGCCTGTTGTCAAAATTTTACTAGTATGTTATTGCAGAATTATATCTCTATTGTTCATTGAATTAACTTGTCTCACATGCTCCTCACATTTATTCATCTTCTTGCTGTAGAAATATAAAATGAATTTGACTTGTCTTTCAGTTGGCTGAGCTATGCAGCAGTGCTGGCAAGTGTGGTGCAAGTTTGGCCATGTCTTCTGAGCAGCTGAGGGAACTGTGTGCCGCAGCTCGCCTCATTGCCTCCAAGTTCAGCCTGCCGTGTCCTGCTTGTGTGGCAACGGTGCTACAACCACCATACCTTAAACGTACCCCTGAGTCTGCTGCCTCACATGGAAATCTCAGCAATGCAAAAACTGTTCCTTTAAAGTCTGGTGATGAAAGCAACTTGTCTTCCATGAGCTGTGAATTGGAGGGTTGGAGAAGTAAAAAGAGTGTTGAGGTAAGAATAGGTAACTTTTATACTGGTGTATTTTCCTCATTTAAAATTATCTTTAAAAGCTTAAGAATGTACTTATATCTTTGCTTTTTAAGTTACAAATTACACACAGAGATTTTATCATTGAAATTTGTATGAGTAAAGTTGAATTTTCCGTCTCTGATAAATTTATTTTTTATCAATTATTTTTTATGGAATTGCCTTATTAAAAAATAACTGTTGATTCGCTAGTTATTTTTCATTATTTTAAGTGTGAAGGTGTTCTAATTTATCATCATGTATCCATTCATAAAAAAAGTAATATTGGAATTTATACAAAGTTATTAGGTCTTTCAGAGCAAAGCTTGCCTTTAATAAAAGAATAGCTTGTGCAGTGCCAATACTTTTTTTTTTTTTCAGAGCAATGTGGGCAGTCCCTTCAGTAGCAACATCACCCCTCACCTCATCCCCTCCAGCGACTCATCTCAGTTACCAATGCTACCTGATGCAGAGTCATTGCCGGGTTTGTCTGATGGCCCTGAGCCGTGCAACCTTGGCAGTGAGGAACTTCAGAAGTACATTACAGAACTTAAGGTCACTGATGTCAGCACAGTTAAAGCTTCCATGGAACACCAACAACTCTCCACTTTGATCTCAAAACCTCTACACAATCTTGAGGACCTTGCTTCTTATTCTCCTTCCAAGGAAAACACTTCATTGCCACATACTGCAAACAAAAGTGTTGATGTTTCTGACAAGAATTTCAACAGTGAGGAAGAGTCTGCCAATTACACTGCAGCTGGCCGCTCATTAAAGTCATATGGTCATCATAGGCATCGAGAACTGCATGAGCCAAGTTTACATTTTGAAGCCACATCTAATGCAGCTAATTCATTTATGGAAAATTATTCAATGCATCATCAAAATACTGAAAATTCAGAGGTTTATAATAGTGACACTACCTGCCAGAACACTGTTGCCAACAGACCTGAAATACTCAAGAATTTTGAAACACACTTTAAGGGACTCGAAGGAATGAATTCAGATTCAAATTCACCAAACACTCAGCATTTTTTTCTTGAGGCACATTCAAAGGGTATTAACCCTCATCCATATTGCGTGGACAATAATTCTGTTGAAGGAAAATTGTCTGATTGCTTAGATACCGAAAATGCATCGCTACAACCTGAGACGTCAAATAAGGCTACTCAACGGAGTGGGCTGTCTGGACTCAGTGGTGGAACCTTGGGAGAGGTGGGGCTGGCATTTGTTGACGTATCTTAAAATTGATATATTGTAACCCTAGGAGAATTTCTCACAATACTCGTCATTGTTCATCTACTAGAATTTGCTCTGCTTTAGTCTCAGTTTCATTTAGATTTAATAACTAGTCAATTATTATTATTAACTAATCAATTATTATTATATTTATCCTGACATTTGTGAAAAAATAACACTTGAGAAAAAAATGTATCACTCATCAAGTTATTTTTAGCGTTATATGATGCAAACTGTTCAACGAAGATATGTCTGTTATCTCAATTTCACTACTTTCAGCCATCATTGTTCATAAATTTCTTTAAATCCTGAATTAAAATAGTTTTTTTCACATGCAGGAGGTATCAAAGTTGCTCCAACTACCCTGCATGACCGATGGAACTCATGAATTAGTTTCAAGTGCTTCAAATATGACTGCTGCTAAATTTACACAGAGCTCGCAACATTGCTTACAACCAAGTGAAGGCCACGAATCACCTTCAGGCAGTAGACAAGAAATACACTTCCAAAATACGGGCTTACAGAATAACTTTAGAGAGTGTGGCAGGAGTCCAGTTGATGGAAGCATTGTTGTAAGAAACGATGCACATAAAAATTGTCTCGTGACAGATCGCACGCATAATCTCGATTCTCTGACCAATATTACGAGGTTGCCAGCCACTCCATATAAATCAGCTGATCACTGTGCTTCATATTCATCTCGTTTAAATTTTGATAGTAGATTTACGTCAAATTATGGCAAAAGCTCGTTATTGCCAAAGTCTTATGAGGTATTCCCTGTTCCAGCCTCTAACTCGTTAACAAAAAATCTGAGTACGTCAGAATCTGATTGTTCTGATGTCGGTGGAAAAAGTAAGAAGAGCATGGGGCTGTTGTTGAAAACTTTACAAAAAGATTTAGAGTCTTTGAAAAAAAGCATTGACTCTAAGAATTCGATCCATAGAGGTCAAGTGTCTGACATATCAGGACGAAGGAAAAATAGAGGCCGAACTCCTCTGAAGGTCTTGCATGATGATTTGATCTCCAGTGGCACAGAAGCTGATACGGAAGATTTGCAGTCTCCTGAAAAGCTAAGGATAGAGTCCCAGTTTTCTCAACAGTCTTATGATGACCTTAATGACAGACTATCCCCTAGACTGCTCCGAAAGTTTCCTTCGTGTAGTCAGCTGACTTTGGTTGACTTAGATTCTCCAATTCAGTACTGTCGAAGACGGAAACGCCGCAGCCAGAGTCTCCAAAGATCATCGCAACTTCAGCCTGATATGCTATGTGAAGCTCAGTATATGACTTCGCCAAAACGTTACAAATTTGGGACCAACAAACTGAAGCGAAACGGACCTTTGAAGCTCAACCGAGAATTATTCCCCAAGTTAATCGATGAAAGATCTACAAACTATGATCATGCTCAGAATGAAGCCTCACTATCACAGGACATTCACGATGCACTGGCACATTCCGAGGTCAACCAGCCCAAGTATGTATATTGTTTATGTTCATCCCCTCTATGAACAGTGGAGCGCACTAAAGAAATGCATGTTTGCGCTTTCGATGCTTATGATAGTCGCTTTTATTTTATAATATCAAGTTGATTTAATTTTTGTAAGTTGCGTACTTTGTTATATTTGTTCTCGTCAATTGACATCCTTGAACTTATTTGGGATCCTAAGTATGATCATGCTAAATTTTTAGCCTTTTTTCTGCTTTTCAAATACGTGGCCTCAAGATGGTGGGTTCTAAAATACTATTTTTAAAAGTATTTTAACGTTTTTTGATTTGTGCATTTCAACGTCTTGGCAGTCTCGTAAAGCTGTCCTTTTTATTCCAGGAGTTACGCCATGAGGTTACCGCGCCCTCTTTCTCTGTCCACCTTGGAATCACGCAGCTGCACGCATCGGAGCCGGAGCTATGAACGGAATAGAAGTAATGCTCATCAAATTACCCAACTCGACGCTTGCGACCAAACGTCGCAACGCAGCGAGTCTGGCTTGCTGTTCCATCAGGTTTCCAGCTCTCCAAGAACCTGTCGTTCTGGAGCTAATCCATCGTCTCGCAAGTCTTTTGAAACGGAGCCTTTGAGATTACAATCTGCACCTGTTGCGCTGCCTCGTTGCACCTGCCGCAAAGAGAATCACGAAGCTTATTGGAACAACAAATGGATGCGAGGAACTTCACTAAGTTGTCCTGACATTAGTCACTGTCAAATGACTTGTCCCATTTGTCGCATGGCTCTGAAGAGCACGCAACTTTCCGTGGATGCTGCCACAACGACGGCCAATAGCATTCACTTACGCTCCCGTGCTCTCTTGCGCTACCTGCGACGTGCGACTAAAGATTAGGCACTTCTCTACTGTGGTGCGGACGTCTGGCTGTCAGGTACTAGTTTCGAGGCGGCTCTCTAGCCCCTTGAGGCAAGCTATTCCTGGAAGTTAGTGCTAAATTTGAGGTCACTCGTAGGTGTTTAATGGGACCGAATTTATTCAATGATTTCTGTGTTTCGTTTTCTATGCATTCATTGTGCTACAGCCAAGCATTCGAGATGAACTGATGAAGTACTCATGGGCGAGAACTTCTCTGACTCACTACGCGTTTCGGCTGAAACTTTTGCCCCGTTTCGGTGCAGCAATGCGATACAGATAAGGTGCCACATTTGGTAACTCCTGCTGCGTGCTTTCGTATTTCCTGTCTATATACTTAGCTTTATAGACAGTCTTTATCGACCCTCGGCAGGCTGTATTTTCTTACAATACCTAGTCATAAAATTGGAAGTGAGGCGGTGTCAGGGAGGTAAGTTAAGAAGACCTTTTATTAGGTGCGAGTTCATCGCATTAGCGAATATAACGCATTACAGTGCATATGCTGTTATTTGTTATCCTAGTCCATGTTATATTGTAAGAACATTCGAAGCAGACGATTCATTGCTCTTTATGATTCGTAATATTCAATTGGCAGCTGTGAACTCATCGATACTTGTACCGGTACGTTTCCCAGTGCCATCAAGATGAATTTTTCCCTGCACTTTAACGCCTTATGTGATTAATTTTTATTAAAAAAATGAAAAAATATTTTAGGAACCAAATTTCTGATTTTATTCATCTTAACTTATTTGTGACGATTGTCTGAGATCCATTTTCAGATGGTGGACTAACTTATAAGTGTAAAGTTAACTATAAGAATCAAATGTTTAGCCTAAATCTGACTATGTTTTGTGTACAGAATTCATATATCACAACACCTTGCTTGATACTACAGTGAGAATAAGTACAAATAATTTTAAATGGTCGCTTTAATGATACGATCGTCGCTCACTTTGCCTCAAAAGAGACGAAGTTGTCTTGTTTCGGAGGATTCTTTGTGAATAAGTCGGTCCTTTGAGGCAATGTATTTTGTTTACTCTAATGAGGTTTTACTTGCGCTCCTTATTTGCTATCCTGATGCGGTGTGCACGCTAGCTTTATCTATGAAATATACATTCTGAACTACCTCAGCCCTAAGTAAACTAAGCTCGTTACCAGATAAACGGGAAATATTATGTTGCGCCACCTACCAAGCATTTTATGTTTTATTGAAACCATTTCTCCACCGTTGAAGCCCTATTCCTGTCAAGATTGGGTGTTAAAGTTTTATCATGATTCATGGTTTACTTGTGTGAATTTTGCCGGGTGTTTCGATGCGTTGTTTGTTGCAATCAACTACAGACGGTGCCATTCCAGTGTCTACTTTTTTAAGAGCGGATCGGTACTATTTTTTTATTTGTTATTATTTTTTAGAGAGAGAAGCTGTGCTGCTTAAACTTGTTCTTCAATATGCTAGTCATATCTCGAGCTGTAAGGTTGTGACTACAGCTATCATTCCGATAGTTCATACTGTATATTACATATTGCATCACTTCTATACTGATTTGTTACTTTAGTTTTAAACTCTTCTCATAGTTAATGATTATACTTAGGATTTCTTTTGTCATTTCTGAATACCTTTTCTCACATGCTTATGATCTTCCCGCTATAGTAGAGCGGCTCGGGTTAAGAGGTCATTTATGAGCTGTGAATTGCAATGTTATCTGTTGACCTTCTGTTATCTGTAAAGTTGCCGCCTTCATGTTTCAAGTTATGACCTTGATACCTTCAAGTTTTGGCCTTGATACCTTCAAGTTGTGGCCTTCATCCTTCAAGTTGTGGCCTTCATGTTACAGAATAATTTAAGTTTTTTTGTGATAATCAAAGATTGAGCATTTATAAAATAAACTGATACAGCACCTGCATTTCTTATCCTTAGCCCAATTGTTATTTATTATTCTAAGAATGATGTAATATTTCAATGAATAATATTTCAATTATTATTTACCGAAGTCTGGTACTAAATAATCTAACGAAAATTTTAGGATTGAAATCGGTTGACGACGCATGGCTGTGGTAAATCGTAACTTGATCACGCAGGTGCCAAATAGGGTTTCATTCAAGTATCAAACAGACATCGGCGTACACATTTACGTCAAACTAAACCTTTTTATAATAGAAAAACGCTTGTGCGAGAAAGTACCAATAACTTAGAATTTAACGTAGATGTATTTACTGGGCAACGAAGCCTACGATGACCCTTCAACAATTTCGCTTCGTACTGGAAAAAAACTCAACCTAATGTGTAACTCTGATGCATACACATTTTATTATATTGATACATCATTCTATTTTGAAACCTAAAGACTTTTCTGATTGTATTCTGTAGACAGAAATGTGGATCTAGCGTTATTGTTTGAGGAAGTCGGGAAATCAGCTGTTTGCTACTAAGAATCAGCTGTTTTGCAAAAAAATATTGGAACATTTAAATCTTTGCTAACTCACAAAAACAATCGAATTGCTATTTGAATCAACATTTACTAATACTTTTGCATAAAACAGCCAGATTATTTATTGTGTGTTAGTAATAATTGTATGAATACGATCAGAAAGGAAATCAAGTCAGCAAAAAGTGAAATTCGCGATTACTTATTGACTCGCACTCTAAAAATTAACAAACAAGTATTTTATGTGACGAATAATAATAGGCAATTTATCCGTTACAATGTCCGACTTTAAAATAATTACAAGCTAACACAAAGAAAATGTTATACTTTACAAGCACAATATAAATAAAGAATCTCCAGTATATACTCACCTCTTGTTTTGGTCGCAGTGGACTTGACTAGCGAGTTTGCAATTGGGCTTAGTGGGGTGAAGAGTGGACGGCTTTTACGATTTCTGTTCCTTTTGGTTTCACTTGCTAATCAATATTGAGTTGATTAGAAACTAACTTGGTAAGTTCTGGAAATACCATCTTTTATGTTTGTACTGATCTCTAGTATATGTGTAATTAAACTGTCGACGTGAATCGTGTTGCAATTCCTGTGTCTGTGTGGCGACTACCTTGACAGTTGACTGAGAACTGGCAGAAGCTATCGTTTCTTATATCTGTGCAACCGTAAGTTGGCGAGAGAAATTAGGCATAAGTGGTCTATTGGCCGAAATTTTGTTGATTCATATTAAAATTAATCTTTTCCCCTATTTTTTAAAACAAAGGATTTAGCCTATTTGTTTAATGTCATTTCAATTTTCAAAATTTCAACACGGCTCAGAGCCTAAGACTGATTAGCCTACTTTGTCTAAAATACTGAGTTATCTACTGCACATTTATGAATTTGTAGTTTGTGCAACAGTAGTTTAAATTTGAATAATTGAAGAAAAAAGTTGCAAATACTTTTTTCATATCAGAATGGGTAAAAATTGAAAGGGTTAAAATTAAAACTAGGCCTATGTCCCTGTTTCAATATGCTTGTCATATGATAATTAACTCTGGTCAATATCTAATTTCCAAAAACAGAAGATTGGAAAGATCAAATGGCAAACTGAAATATTAAAACTCCAATGTTGTTTGTACCTAATGGTTAAAGTTTACTTTTTAGAATTTAAGCATGTAATATTATTGATAATTTAATGGACTTTTCATTAAGCCACTAATCTAGCATGGAATTTTCTATTTATGAGTAAAATCATGATTATGTTATGGACTTGTGTCTTCAAAATAAAATCTTGTACCTTCAAAAATGGCAGAGAAGCTTTAGCAGGCAGTAGCTGTGGCAGATTTATTTCATGCCAGCCACTGGCAGCCACTAACATTGCCTCTGCACTTCTGTTGCCAACCTTCAAAAGAAATGATCTATTTTGTGAACAAAACTGAGCCACAACTTTCTAGTATGATTGTTATAGCTTCCCAGTTATTACAAGTTGATCAAACTCTACAAATCATATTTTGGCTTATTACACTGTTTTTATTATTGAACAGCAAGTCATGTGCAGTTGCAGTGTGGCACTTGCATGTCATTGACAATAGCAAAAATCTTGAGCTACAAACATTGGTATGAAAATAAGATTAGAAAATTCCAATTTGTTAGTGTAATCTTTTGATTCTGATGTAGCAGTAGCATGTTTTAATACATTTGGGATCTCACAGGTTGTTTCAGCATTTTCTCTAACAATATGATAGGAGATGAATTGTTCATCTAGTGGGAATCTTGCAGCTCCAAACATGAGATAAAATATTTATTCCATGCCTAAAGAAAAGCTCTAAAAATGCTTGTATGGTAGATATCATGCAATCTCTAATAACTAAAGGCAACACACAATTTCAGCAAGGCTCTTTGACCATTTGTCGTATTTGTATGTATGATCCAAAAATTTATATATATGTTCATGAAGTCTCAAAAATTTTTTTTATAACTTGCATGTCATGATGTGACTGACATGTTTTTATGCTCCTTTTCAATGTTTCAGGCTCTGGCTGTCCATGTATGTTGGTGTGAAAATTTTTCAGATTCCATGCTGTGACCACAACTTTCTGACATTTTTAGAGAACCAGGATGGATAATCACATACCGTACCTAATAGCCCAAAAATGCCCAATTGAGCTCTAATATTTCAAATTTCCCTAAAATATTTGACTTTAGAACTTCTATATTTTAGTTAAGACTTGAAATATTTCCAATCATGCATGTATGATGAAAGATTCATTTTGATGAATTTGATTGCGAAATTTCAAATTAATTTAAATCATGTTATTTTAAGCAGTAAAATCACGATGAGCCAGTTTTATTTTAATCTAGGATAATTAACCAGTGGCATGGTTGCTTTTAGGAGTGTGAAGACTGAAAAGCTTTGAGTGTTTTTTTATTATAAATTGTTATCTTATAACTAAACTCAAAAATAGTGACTTTCCAAGCCCCAGATGATGCTTTCTGGCTACGTTTGAAGCAGCTTTATCTCTGCTAAACAGATGATATATTTAATGGAACTAATCTAATTACCTAATCTATCATCAAACTGCTAGATAGGGTGACAAGATTTCAAGTAAAACTAAAAGTATTAGACTTAATAATTATTGGGTCTGGGGACTTAAATATTGGATCTATAGAATTTCACTCTTTCTGGGCTCCAGCAGTCATTACTGAATTTAAAATTCATTTTAATAAAAAAGCTTAGATGCTTTGAATTGTTGGAAGTAATTATTTCATTCTGTTTAATATTTTCTTGTTGTATCATACTTTATTCAATTGAGTAATTATTGATTGGACTTAATGTTTTTGCCATTTTATTCAAATTTTGAATAGAGAGTACCGGTATATACTTGTATACGTTAAAAGCATTTTGTAATAGTAACTGGGAATTTTTTTTTGCTTGTCTGTTGTGGAGCTCTTACTCTTTATGTCAATGTGTTTTATAAGATTTTTTACCAATAATTTTTTTTTCTATATTATAAAAAGAATTTTGATCCATTTCAGGCTTATTCCAGAAGATTCGTTTATAGTGATACCTGAGTTGCAGTGTTTTTATTTAACTTGGCTCACTTTAATTTGAGGCATTTGAAATAGCAGCAAGCGCTGATTAACCACACAGTTTATGTTTGTTCACTCAGTGTTTAAATTCAAGTGGCCTGCGAGATAAAATTTTACCATATGTTTTAATAAATTCTCTTTGTTTAAGTGTGTTCTAGGCATGCTGATAAATGATAAATGTTCACTTTCAAAAAATGTGTTGTGTATATTTGTTCCTTGGCCATCTCTTAGAATTACCCTATATGAAGTATAATTGGCAGTTATGAGGATACAATGCATCTGATCAAAATTCAAGAATATCCACAATTATTCATGTTTGACACATAATCTTCATCGTATTAGTCTCATAAAACTACTGTATTATTACAACAGTTGAATTGGGCTTAAGAAATTTTCAAATAGAACCAGGTATTTGAAAATATGAGGACTGCTTTATATGATTATTTGAGTGTGTTTAAATTAAATTCTACTGTAAATGTAAAATTTTGCTCTTGTCTGCTTAATATCATTTTCTTTGAAGCTCTACATGAAAAAATTTATCTACAATTTTCTTAGTTCTAGGAAATAATTTGCATTTCAAGTATGAAATTTGACTTCACAGCTGCTCTAAACATTAGTCAAGGTTCATTGGCCAAGGCATAAAATTGTTCTTTTTAAGGTTCTGAATTTATGCTGAATATAGCAGGAAGCAACTTTAAATTCATTCATTACTGTTAAGTTCTGTCATGTTGAAGGTTACATAAGGCATTTTACTTATTTCAGAGGCTTGAGGTTTCTTTCCTTTGGTGCTGTGCTCCTAAGTGTTGGTAGTGCCTACAATGGAACAATTAAAAATTAAATTTTAATTTTACCAAATTAAAATTTATTAATTTAATTGACTTGGATTAGTATTCAGATGGGTAATGTATAGATTAATTATGAAATACCCAATTTAGGAACTACCGTACCACTATTTTGTAAGCCATGCCATTCAGTTAGTGAGAGATCTGCATTCAAGGTTTAAAGCTTCCATGACCAACACATTCTCTTTGCTTTAATAAATTATTTAGATTCTTGGTATTGATATTCTTGATAGGAATGGGAAGATTTTTAATATTAAAGGATCAGATTTGCAAGTTATGTGAAACCCTTCAAATATGTTAACAATTTATGTAAAATCAATTGATGACTCAGCCTCTGGCATATCACTTGTATCTCATCTGAATCCATGTATTTGATTTGAATAACTACTATTCAGTACAGAAGTTTTGCTCAACACCTCTGTTTTTTCAATATTTGAAAATAAAATTAGAAATTCATTGTGCATGTGTAATATCGGTGACACTGGATTCCTTATAAGTGTTGTCTTAAAAAAATAATTTGTAAACGCATATTATTAA